AGCGTAGCAGCAGAACTGTGCCAACATGTCTGCTGGGTGGAAATAATTAAAAAAAAACAGCAGGTTTTGATGTCTGTAGTTGGAGCATTTAAAAGTCTAACTTCAACGGAAAGACAAAAGTTTAAATAGGACATAATGAAAAAGTGATTACATAAATACAATGTGTTAAATTTAGATGCTTTAGATGACCAGCTGATCTATATGGCTCAGAATGTTATGTGTTTATTTGCATTTTGCCTAAATTAGAGACAAGGTTAAGCTCTTCACTTCCACTGCATTCATTTAACAGAGCTACAGGTACAAAACGGTTAATTGAGGTTTTTTTTTTTAATGTGAGGTCTATTGAGTGTATTGAGTTATTATTTTTGGGATGGACAATTTCAAGATTTTTGCATTCAGTGGGTAAATAAAAAGGGTGTATGGATTGAATTTGTTGGTAGTCATTTAATTGTTCTTCAAATATTTTATGCACAATTTTGTTCTGTCCCCTGTCCAGCTACCAGCCTCTGCTCTAAACACTAAACCAACTTTCAGCAATTCAGCCTTCTCGTATACACTTCTTATTTTTTGTGCTTTACTCTTTTAGGGCTAATTAAATTTGGACAACAACAGTTTGAAAGCGCAGAAATAAGTCTGAATAAGAGCTAATTTAAGCAGCTGCTTTGTGATTTAGGAGCGTTGCATGTTTCAAGTTTTGTTTTAATAAATGACCATCTATATGGTTGGGATGAAGACTTGCAGTGAATAAAAGTTGACTTATCCCAAATCCTGCCACTCAAAACCCTCCAATAAAACAGGCTTCGAGTACAGAGAAGTGTGGTGCTGCAAATTCTGCAAACTTCATTTTCATCTGTTCAGTTAATCAGTGAGGAGGAGTGCGCACATATTCTGGCAGAAAAGGTGCAGCTCACTCATGGTAGTTTCCACTTAGTAATCCTTTCAAAATAAACTACAATACCAGAAACAGGCACAGGAACACCTGAGTTCTATTATTTCTTGAGGGGGCATGGTAGGTGATATATATATATATCAGAGTCAGAGTCAGAGTCAGAGTCAGAGTTTCTTTATTGTCATTCGCACCTCATGTGGTACATGTGGTGGAGCGAAATTATGTACACAGGGTCCCAGTTACATCCAACAATAAAATGTATAAGAAAAACAGTAATAACATCTAAGATATGAACTAAGAAAAACATCAACTAAATATACACTAAGCACTCATAACATAAAACATTGAACATCA